GAAACATATGACCGTTTCCTTCTGCAACATGCAAACTGACATGCATTCATCCTAATATGGCGTAAACTGCCCTTCTTCACGTTATCTGGAAATAGGCTAAAAAAAAAAAACTAAAAAAAAAACAGTTGACTGCTGCCAGAGAATAAAAATAAGCAGAACTGCTGAAGGCCCTTGTTCTGTCAGTCCATTCACTGCTGCTACTTTAATGAGTCGAATTAGGCCAGTGGATATAGTACGGTGGCTGTAAACTGGAGCGTAGCTGTTTACTCCCTCTGGGATCTCACTGTGAATCAAAGGAAATGTGAGAGGTCTCGGAGGAGGTGGCTGAGCGCAGGCCAGATTCACATTACACAGACCTAATAACAGAAGAGGGAAAAAGTAAAAAGCAGCATTAAGTGCACATTCTGCACTGGAATAAAGTTGACTAAAAGGAGCAGCGTAGGCAGTTAAAGAAAAAAAAAAAAGTGTCTTCTGCATCAGACAAGGAGAATACCTAAACACTGAATTCATAGCTGATATTTGATTAGATTAGCGTTTTCCAGGCCACTGTTTGATGTTAAAGGAAGGATAGGCCGTCTCATCCCGTGGTGTTTGGCCAATGCTAGGAGGGGAGAAGATGAACTGACAGCACAGAGAGTGTCTGTGTTACTGTGTTTGGGACTGAGAGGAAAAGAGTGGCTACATTGTCACACTGACTCCTGATGTAGTGAAAAGGAAATTACTCAAGAGTTCCCCACTGGGTGCAAACAAAAAGGAGCGAAACACATCACAACTCTGTGTTCACAAGCCAAATTTAGAGGCCAAAGCTCTGTATGGAGAGTTTAATCTTAAACTGAAATACTACGCATCAATGTGTGCCTGAAAGCTGAGGCAATGTGACAGATGATTAATTTTTCAAGTAGGTTCGAGGCACAAGGAAAGAGGAGAGTGCTGTTAAGGACACACAGGCAGAGGCATATAGTGAGCCCAAAAAACAACATCAAGTTATAACAAGCTCAAATACTGAAGAGTGTTCACTCAGTAATTACTTTTGCACTATAAAATCTTTACTAAATAGATGATCAAGTAATGATTAAGAAGTGTTTTACATTTTCAGTGGTACCTTAATAATTAAATGTCTACTTAAATGAGCCTTGTTTACATATATATAAAAATCTATATCCTGTGGCAAAAAAAAAAAAAAAAAATCCCAAACAGAACAAGGCAAGAGTGGGTAAGTAAGTTTATATATATATATATATATATATATATAGGCAAGACATTTATTTTACATCTACAATAATTTACAGATCAATTTGACTGCATGATTGGTTTATGGAGCAAACAATTGTTATTAGTAATTTGATAAAGTAGAAATCAAAACATTTACTCCTCTTCCTCCCCAAGTGTTTAAGTTTAAACATCACTAACTGAGAGGATAGACTTCTGTGTTTTCACACATTATAACTGAGCTTGCCTAAGTTCTGTTATCATTTGCTTTATGTATAATGATGCAAACCAAACCTTATGCTTCCCGTTTTCTCCAACAATAAAAAAAGCAGTGAAAGCAGTATTTTTTTTATGTCTATCTACTAAATGAAGCTTGCTAGTTTATGTCCTTCTTTCAGCCACACCCTAGCTGTCCACACTTTCCTCAGTATGTCACAGAACTGTAATTAAGCGACAGGGATGACGTCTAGGAGCAAAAAAAGACACAGCCTGTCCCTACTAGATCATCCATCTTTGAAAAATCTCTCTTAGAGTTGGAAAGTAAAAGCCTTTCTTCACAGCAGGGTAATGAACAGATCAGCAGCAGTAATGTATCCAGAAGAATAACAGCAGGACTCAGCTATGCTTTCGGTAAGCTGCTGGATTCATACAAGATTGATAGATGGACATTTGGTGAGACCTGAATATAAAAAGACCAAATTGAAAGACTAGGCAAATATTTATACTGCCAGACATATACAAAAGAAAAATTGTTATAGGTTATGTCGTGCAGGCAAACCTTCCAATTACCTTCTCTAATCCAAAGCTACCTAAATTACACTTTATCTGCTAAATACAACTAATAAAACGGTATGAATGAAATAAATCTCTATGAATTTAATTTCATTGGCAAACACGTTTATTTGTTTATTGATCATGATAAATATAAAATATAGTTTGTCATTTTAAAAGCAAATGCTGCCAGCCTATTAAACAATAAAGAATAGGAAAGAAAAAGTATGAGAGTTTTAAATAACAGTAAACTTGAACTGAAAGCTCCACATTTTGGGGAACTTTATGGACATTTTGATATAGTTTAATGAATTTTACATGAAGAAAGTTCAACGTTAAGCACCACTGGATAAAGACAGAGGCAAATCTAAAGAGAGGACAGAAAAAAAAACATAAACCAAAAGGTCGGGATATATGTCATATAGTAATCCCCTTTAAAAAGTATAATGATTGCTAAACTGAGGGACCTCCTGTCCTTTTGCTCTAATGTAGGACAGTATCAGGGTATTAGATGAGGGGGTGGGGGGTGGGATTAGCACCAAGCATCCACAGATTTAGCAGCACAATCTACCACAAGTCACCCACTGTGGGTCTGCTGCCTCTACCCTTTCACCCTCTACCCTGGGGGAGGTCGGGAACAGCTTTCCAAACACGCTGCTGTCTGCTGCTGGACTGTGAGCCAGATTGGTATCAAGCATGAGGACCCTGCCCTATTCAATCTTTGGCACATTAAGCAGCCTATGCAGGAAACGTTCGTTCAAACGCAGCAGGATATCACACAGTCTACTGGCTCTGATCCAGATGCGTTGTAATAATTGCCAACGATTCACACTAGAAATGGGAGAAGTTTAAACCATAAGACAGAATGAAAATGGTAACAAAATTATAAATAGCTTTGTCAGATAAACGGTTGGGAAACATTGGGCTGTGGAATTAAATTGTTTAGTGGATTGATCCTAAAACCTTTTACATCGATATGGGAATTGGTGCTACACAAAGGGTAAAAATAAAAGCATCACTAGCAAGTCTTGGAGATTTTGTATATAGCCTGTATCAATAGTGATGATATCTTAAAATCTTCAAATTTCAATGGCGTAATCCGGCAATGATCTAACTTTCTAACACCACCGCTACTGGCGTCAGCTGTAAGACATGGACTTCCAATTCTGAGGTTGTTGGTTCGAGACCCAACTTAGACTTTAAGGGAGTGGCGGCCTAGTAGTTCAGGCATAGAGCTTTGAATCCTGAGGTTCTGGGTTTGAGACAGACTGCCGCAGACTGCAACTCTGGGTCTCTATGCAAGACCCTTAACCTCACACTGCTCCCCGGGCGCTGCACAATGGCAGCCCACTGTTCCCAAAGGGGATGGGTTAAATGCAGAGGTAATTCTTTTCAGAAGTAAGATCAATAAAGCGCATGATACAAATCCTTTTAAAATAAATTACAATGAGTCATATCTGTAATGTACATACAAAACAAACCAATACAAACCGCTATGTAATAGTTAGGTTTGAAGTGGAAGTAGGTTATTGATGTAACAGGAATGCACAACTGCCTAAAATATGCTTTCTGTTTATTCTACAGAACCCATAATTTATCATCTTCAGCTGAGAATCAGAACGCCAAGGTCCCCGCCCTCGACTGCAACCCATCACACATTGCACCCGACCCCTTTGGCCCCTCCTACAGGTGGTGAGCCCATTGGAAGGGGCATCCATGTTTCCTCTTAGGGTTGTGCCCGGCTTGGCTCCATGGTTAAAAGCCCGATCACTAGGTGCTTGCCCAAGCATGGCTCCAGAGTGGGGCCCCAGGTTAACCGCATCCGGGTGAGGGAACGCTACATCCATTTATTTTGCTCGTCATAAGGGGTCTTTAAGCTGCTCTTTGTCTGGCCCCTCACCTAGGACCTGTCTGCCTTGGGTGATCCTGCTTGGGGGCTTAAAGCCCCCAGACAGAGTAGCTCCTAGGGTCATTGGGACACTCAAACCCCTCCACCATGATAAGGTGGAACCCCAGGGAGGGCCTGGCCCAAGTGGCTGGGGAGAGAGTCATCTGGGCCTCCCTACTGAAACGACCCGACCCCGGACAAGCGGAAAAAGATGGATGGATAATTTTTCCATCTTCTTACACGGATAAAAAAGGTGTTAAAATATAATCTGAAACAACACTGATCAAAATCCCCTTTAAAACGACACATTAAGTCTGTCATTGGAAACCAAAAAAGGCAGTGATAGATGAAGAGGTGGGTTTAGTGTGGTGTCTTCTTTCAAACGTTGTCTAATCCAATAAACTCTCAGCTAGAGGGCCGAGAAGATTACACAATAACGCTCTTGATATCGAACTAGACTTCCTTAAGTTTGACTTTGGAGAAAAAAAGCATTAAAAAAAATCAACTGAACTTTTTCCTACCACCTATCTAACATACCCAGTTATGTTCATCATAACTGACCCTCTGAACTATATTTCCTTACCAGATTATTGCAAGAAAACAAATGAAGCAAATGAACTTCTGCCCCCCCCCCGCAGGGGTAGGGCAGACTGACTCTCACCTGCCACTTATGGACGCGAACAAACAAAAGCGCATGAATTAAGGGACATAGAGATTTAGACGGATGAGGACAAATAAAATGTATATATTCAGTTTTTAGAATCAGCTCTTGGGTATCCAAGGAACTAAAAAAGAAATAAACTACTATCAGCGTCGTTAAATAACCTGTGGTCTAAGTGAGCTCCACAGGACTGGATCGCAGTACTTTGAGGTATGCGGAAATGAACTTCAACTATATAGAAGCTATATTTCTGACCAACAGAGACAGAGTTGTGGTATTACGGTTCAAAAATACACAAAAAATTTTTTTTTGTAAACTAAACCACGGACACACACACAGAAAAAACAGAATGAAGGCTGAATTAAATGCGCACACGCACAAACAAAGAGTGAGACGGAAAAAGACGCACGCTGGGAGCCGCTTGGAGAAAAGAAAACGCGTAAGAAAAAACATATAATTAGTTAGTCTTACCTTTAGGAAACAGAAAAAAAATAAGCTTTTCAGATAATCCCAGCCCGGTGTCCTTCTGCAAATGTTGCTTGACGACAGAGCTCTGAACAAAAAAGTGAGTGAAAGGAGCGTCACCTCAGCCAGGCTCCGCCCTGCTTGGCGCGACCCCACCCAGCGTGGGGTCTGCTTCATGCCCCACCACCACTATGTTATTATTGACAGGGACCATACTCTGTTTCCCAAATAAGCTTTTTACAAGCTGTTTTCTATTCATAGACTTCCAGTAGAAAGACAAGAATAATTTTCCTTTTATTTATTCCACATATATGTTCAGAAAATTATTATTTAGGAGAATTTAACATTTTAAGAGGAAAATATAACCAAGAACAGGTGTAAAACTACGATGTAGCCTATTTATTGTGTCAGAGACCATGAAGACTGAAGACCCTGTCTTTGTTGGGTTTATTCTTCTTTCACCTGCGTGACGCTCGGCCACACCTTGATTACATCACGAAACCAGACAGTTGGATGAGTCACTGCTGCTGCCGGGAACTAACCCCTCACTAACAAACACACACCACCATGCAGCTTCTCCTGATTGTTTTTCTTTATTTTTCAGAAATCACTTTAGGTTTCAGTCTTCATTTGACTAAAAATGACAGAACTGTTTAGAGAAATAAGAGTTCTCATCGTGTTTCTTTCCTGACATGGTGAGGTCTATTGTTTGTGTTAAACAACAAACAAACAACAAAAAGCAAAACTGTTTTCCACACTGGTAAAACCACGTGTTGTCATGTATTCTATTTGTGCAATATATTTTGGTGCTTGTTAAAATAAACAAATGTAAACAGTCAAAGGTCCATGCATCAACCACAGAAAAAACAAAAAGCTTTATTGTCATTTTGTATATACAGAGTGCATTCAAAATGAAATTTCCATGCATATAGCAGTGAAATGAACATTTACATTTATAAAATGCAGCATTGATGTAAATCTAAACAATGTAGGAGAAAAGGAAAACCAGACCAGACACCAAGACCTGGTGCAAAAGTCATTGATATGCATGCATTGATATTGATTTTTGCAAAATGCGGTAGTATATTGAGTTGTGTTCTGTTTAAAAGGATTGAAGTAAATGTATTTAATGGAGGGAAGAGGAGCCCCAATGATCCTTTCTGCTGTTCTCACCACTCTTCACACGTTCCAGGTCTCCAGATCATCCCATATTGTCTGGATACCTAGGTTAAAAATGTGAAAATAGCCTTAAAAGTATTTGTATATTCTTTATTCAAAGCTGTTCACTAAAAGTAGGTCTTATCCATTTATTTTTTATTTTTTGTTACTGTTCCAGTTGTTATAACCGGTTTATTTTTGCTCTATAAATACATGTATTTCACATGATCAAACCAATTTTCATTTCAGGCACAGATAACCAGAGGAAAATGTCATTTTCAAACAGTTCATTTTACTATGCAAGAAGCTTTCCAGGACAACCTGGCCCATTGTCTTGAGTTTCTATTTGTATCTAGGAAAATTGAGTTAGGTTCTATTAACCTCTTTTAGGTCTGATTATCTGGAGAAACAAAAAAATTAATAAAATGATGGCTAAAGCACGGAATGTCCGACAGTATGAGCTACACTAAAGTTTTTAAAGAGCAACAAATTATGCTCTGCTCTAAAAACATTTAAAAGTACAGTAGATGACATGCAGAGTTAGTATCATCTGTCAGTATGAAAAGGGCTTCAAAGCAATTTTGGAAGTTTTTTTAAAACTTTTTTAATCCAAGTGAGACTGATTCAAGGAAACATCAACCTTCGCAGGAGGGATTTACCATTCAAAATTACACCAAGAGCACATCATTAGTCCTCCAACAAGTCACAAAATATTTAATTGGAACATCAAAGCATCCCTTGCCTCATCTTGCTGCATACCTGGTCCATTTGAATGATTCAGCAGAAGAAATAGACAGTGAAAAAAATGCATCAATAAAAGAGGTTTGAGTCCAAAACCCTAACTGACCAAAATAAAAAACGCCCACCATCTGCCTGCTTGACAGCTCACCTGAATTGATTTATCACTCAATTTTGCTATCTAGAAGATAATCCTGAAGGTGAATGTCAAAAGTTTTTAATTTTTAGCTCAACTGCATCAGTGTTATGCAGCCAAACAATGATCAAAAGCACAGTAAGTCCACCTACGTATTGCTCTGAAATAATCAAAGGTTTGACTGGGCCAAATATAAGCCTGGACTTAAATCAAATACAGCTGTGGCATGACATTAAAAAGTATTAAAAATTAAAACCCTGGTGTGCATGGATATAGGAAAGGATTACTTTTTCCTTCCAGTACAATATTAAGTTAGACAATTTTTATAACAAATAAACGTTTAATTTGAATCAGCTCTTTGTAATTATTCAAGTTAACTTTGTTTTATTTTAAAAAATGTCATAAGTTCTGAAACAATGAAGGCAAAAACAAAAGAATCAAACATATACATGGAGACAAAAAAAAAAATAAAAATCACGTACAAGAAGAAATAAATGAAAGCATCACCTCACCAAACACAAGGTCTTAGGAACCAAAATTTAAAGTAATCTAAACCTCCAAATAAATCCAACTTTCTTTTTCAACAATAAGCAAAACACTTTTCAAACTCTCTGAGCTCGTTGTAGCTTATAGACCTTGAGTGCTGTGCTATTTAACAAAATAAATGAAGAGTTTCACTTTAAATGTATGTATTAAAACAAATAAATGCTTTATTCGGTTCCTTGACTTAACTAAAATAAAAATAAGCAAACGGATTTGTTAGAGCTTTCTCCTCCTGCTCCTTGTCCCTCTAAGGTTATTTAGCAGCTGTACCTCCAACAGCCAGTAACAACCTTTTGATGCCTCAGCATTAATAATATAACAAGGCATTTTATAAAAATGCATCAATGAGATCAAACCCTAATTCTAGTTCCCGTTAGATGGCTCTCTTTTTATGCAGGACTGTTGTGTCTTTTGCATTGCTCCACTGGCTCTGTTCATTGATCAGCTGTATAACCAATAGGGGTAGTGATGCACGAATAAGTGGAAGACCTGTTTATTTCAGTTCTAATATTTTTCCAGTGGCATTCCTGCCAAAGGTTAGGAGCTTGTGTTCTACCCTGTCATGTGCAGCTGAATAAAATTCAAGCCGGCTGTTTTTGCACTCTGTTGCATGTATCCGTATGCTCGACATCAAACAGCAAAGGTCAGAATGAGATTAATGCCCTAATTACCCACTGTCTTACAGAGAGGAACTGCATTTATTTGACAGTAATGCGCAGACAAAAGTGCATTATTCAGATGTAGTGTTCATACATATTTTAAAAAAGCAATAACCAGGGAGAGGAGTTTTTAATTGAACGCAGAGGAGGTAAAATACATCAGTGGAGTGTGCAGAGAAGCTTCTCTAACTGCCTGCATGATACACTCATGCTGGATGATAGACGCAGATAGGTCAGGCTGTTCTCTGTGTCCCGCCTCGGGCTGTATCATCCGCGTTCTCTCCTGTGCAGCCATTGTGACAGTCGTCATCTGCGGCTCACCGAATGAAAGGGACAGAGGCAGAGCAGGGACGGGCCAGGCCGGGTCACCACTGGTTATATAGGCCATTATATCTGTCAGAGCGAATGGGTGGACTCTTAAAAATAGCCCCGGGTCTAATTGACACTCTAGTGTTTTGATGTGTTGCTCTGAGGGGTCAGAAGAGTGTAAAGGGAGGTTGAATGATTATTAGACTGTTCACTGAACGGAACAATGGGTTCATGTTGCCATACCGGACCATTTGAATCTATAATTTGTTGGCTTTGACTTTTTGCTTCATCAGATAACTCTGAGTGGTGGACAAAGGGGATACTCCAGCTTGAATGGGACCATTGTTTGAACACAGGCAGCTTCTTTATTTTGAAAATTTGCCAGGAGTTGAAAGAATGGTTACTCTGCTTATAAACTTTGATAAGTGAAGTACTTTTCTACATTTGATGTCAGTAAAGGGGTTATGTCCATACAGCACTTTGTTAATGTCCCTTTTATTTTGCCACGTTTTGTCACATCACAACCAAAACAAAAATTAATATTGGACAGTTTTTAAGTGGAACAAAAATAATGCGTAACTTTCTAGATGTTTTTCTTACAAAGAAAAATCGGACAGTGTAGTATGGCTGTCTCCATCCATCTTCTACCACTTGATGATCAGGGTCATGAGGTGCTGGTGAAATCCTCCCGCAGTCTATGAGTAAAAGGCAGGATACATCATGGACCTGTCACCAGTCCATCACAGGGCAACATATACAATAGAATAAAATACAATAGAAAATCCCTTTATTAAGGTTATTGGGAACAGTGATGGTTATAAAGTCTTACAGCTGCTGGGAGGAAGGATCTGTGATAACACTCCTTGGTGCATTTAGGGTGCAGCAGTCTTTCAGTTAAGGAGCTTTTGAGTTCACCAACAGCCTCATGCATGGGGTGGGAAACATTATCCAAGAGAGATGTTAATTTAGTTAGGATCCTTTTGTTTCCTATCTCCTGCTCTGAGTCCAGAGGGCATCCAATCAGAGATGGCCTCCCTGATCATCTCCTCAGCCACTTTCTCTCAGCTAAAGATTAGCCACTGCTCCAACACACAGCTCTATAGAAGGAGCTGAGACGTACAACCATCCATACAAACACATACAGACACAATCACAACTAAGGGCAATTTAGAGACAGCAGTTAGCCTAATAGTCGTGTTTTTGGACAGTTGGAGGAACCCAGAGTATCTGGTGAACTGAGAGATGGTGCACTGAGAGAGCATGCAAAATCTATGCAGAAAGACCCTACAGTATGTCAAGGATTCAGCCCGGGACTTTCTTTATGCAAGACAGCAGTGCTAGAATCTGTACTGCTGTGCAGCATGGATATTTGTATTTAAAGGGATAGTTCGGTATTTTTGACATGAATCTGTATGGCTTCCCCATCACCAGCCCTCCGCGGCGGAGGGAGACATGGCTGTTGTTGGGCTCGCTGTCTGAATGACGGCGCGCACTGATACGAACAGAGAGAAAATAGGACCAATTGATAACGACGTGTGACTTTTTCCACTACAATGTTTTTGGGATGCGAAAATATCACTCTTTTGAACACATAATGTTTTGGGAAGAGAAAAGTTTTATTTCGCTGTACCTAAAAACCTGCAGGACTACTTTCGGCTTGACCAAAACTGGACGATAACTCTGCTCACAGGACGCTGCCAGGGGTAAGTCAGTGTGATTGCATGCCGCTGGTGATGGGGAAGCCATACAGATTCATGTCAAAAATACCGAACTATCCCTTTAAATACAATCTAGTGTCACTAATTATCATCAGAAATCCTCTAACTTGTGATTAGATTTGACCTATGTTCAGTTTAATCCTACTAAGACTCTAGCTGTTTAGTGAAGGCCTCTGCGTTTTGCTTGAAAACACAAAGAGATGGAAAGACTGCAAATAGGTCAGGGTCTAGAAAACAAACATTCCGCCCCCTCACCAGTTCACAGAAGAAAATCAGCATAATTTATCTTACAGTTCATAATTTCTTCATAATTTCTCAGAATTGTGTCAATATATATATAAAAAACTAAAATGTAAAATTAGTTAGAACATCCTATTTGAGGGTATTACCGCTACCACTCTGTTTTTAGAGGAAAACTGCTTGACCATGGCCCCCCTGGTCCCCCATCTACATCCGCCTCTGCTCTAAAATGATATGCGTGGTTGAAAACTAACATCCTGGGCATAACAACCTGAAGGTGAAACATGGTGGTGGCAGCTCTATGCTGTGGAGATGCTTTCTTCAGGTGGAATAGGAAAATAGAAAGAGGTACTGAACCTCAGTTGAACCTTAATCCTATAAAAAAATATATTACAGGCCACAAAAGACTGAATACCAGGGAGAATGTGGATAAACAATCCTAAATATTCAACTAGAGAATGGTTTGGATCAAAGTACATTCATTTGTCAGAATAGCATAAACCAAAACTCAGCTGAGAACTCCTTAACATCCTACAGGAAGATTTGAATTATCCTCTCTAACCCATCTAACAAAGTTTGAGCTGTGTATTGGCCACTATGGCTCAGTGGGTTTCTGTCCTGTAGTCTGAAAATTGTGGGTTTGATTCCAGTTTCCTTCTCCTAAATGTTGGTGTCGGCTGGTCACTTAATTACAAATCTCAGTCCAATCTGTGTATGGGAGAAGGGTCCGATCCAATTTGGGGACTGTGACACTGGTCAGTTACAAATAATATGCATGTGTAGACAATAAAGGTGTGTTTGCATTCTTTTCCTTCTCCTTTATTTTTGTATTTTTGTCAAATATCACAGTGGTTTGCATGTGTTGCTCCAGGACAGCATGTGGCTTTTCCAGGACCTCCAAAGTGGCTCTCAATACTCAATACTTTGTTCAATTAAACTTTGTTCCCAATTTTCAATGCAGTGAATAAGTAATTTCATTTTTTAAGGTGACAAACATACTCTTCTTCCGTTTTCTACTCAACAAATATTTGTTTTTCTTTTTTATGCATTTTCTTTTTCCAACACAATAAAAATAATGTCTTCTGATCTACTATACAAAACACCGTCCAAAGAACCAGATGAGTTTTGGTCTTTGGAATGGCCATGAAGGTGTTGAAGTTTATTCACTAAAAGCAGAACAAGGGTAAAATGGCTCTTTGGGTTGTAAAAGTGATGAATCCTGCTGTGATAAAAAAAAAAAAAGTAAATTAGGCAGATTGATGGTTGTGTATATAAAGCAACAACATGTGAAAGCTCTAATCACTGGGGACTTTTTTTTGCAAGGCTGTCTGTAGTAAAAAAAAAAGAAACAAAAATATTAAATACTCTCTTTATTAGGGGCTGCTTGTCTTTTCTTGTCTCTATTCATGTCTAGAAAAAAAAACAAAATCATGAATCTCTGTCTCTTTCACTATCGGACAAGATACAGTGATACTATGTCTCTGCTTTACAATGCTGGTCTGTTTCTGCCAGCTCTCTGGTGCTTAGTTTCTTGCCCCACAGGAAATGGCCCCATTGTCCCTGAGAGAGGAAATAGTCCAGAGCAGTCCAGTGGCCCACTGGATGGAGACTGCAGTAAATTATTTATCATGACCAACAAAGAGAAAAGACACACATACACACAGTTTGGAGGTGGATGTCTTCACTAGAACATTTTGACAACAATAAACAGTGGAGCTGTGCTCAAAGACCTGTTTGAGCAAAGGGGTATAAAGAAACAAGTATAACAGGTTTAGGTAACTGCATGTCTGACATGTTAACAAAGAATTAGTTTGTTTCAACACTAGTTTTTAAACACCAACAAAAAAGCTAAATATAGGCTCAGAGTGTTTAAAGCCCACTGTTAAGCACTGAGTCTGCATGTCAGACACTTCACAATTGCTGGCACTTCTGAAAATTATGTTTTAAAAGCATTCAAATAATCTATCTGTCTTGACTTTCCTAATCTCATATTATAAATATTGTTGCAAATGTAAAGCTTTGGAAAGGACTTTAACCTCTCTTATAACCCTCATTGTTGCGGTGTCTAGTCCTCCACCCTTTTTTTTTGTCACATTATGATTTGTTTTAAAATTGTTATTTAGTGTTCTAAACTATAGCTATTTAGGTTTAGGGTGAAATAACTTACGAAAAGCAAAAAAAAAAAAAAAAATAAATAAAAAAAAATTGTTACTTAGAATTTTTTAAATCCTGTACTGTCGTATTATGTGGCAACAAATATAGACATTTTTGCTTTAAATTTTTTACCATAGGTGCCAATAGCTTCAAATACAGATGCTTTTAAATGAGCTTTCCCTATTCAGTATTAAAGTCTTCATTATCTAATGTTAGTCTACATATTAAACACAATGAAGAGCCAATTTTATTTAACAATAATATGCAAAGAATATTTCAGCTCAATCTTTTCAGCTAAAGATGACGCTGTTTTACCAGTAGTTGGCCACTAGAGGGAGACATAGTTCAACACACTGCACTGTAGATGTCCTGCAGGAGGAATTTTTTGTTCGGTCATATCCCGCGTGTTGGCTGTCAAGTAGGTTAAAATAGCGCAGAACATTTGCTGGTGGGACTTTTTATAGCTTGATGCTGATAAAGACAGGGAAGAAGCTAAAATTAACACCCACTCCAGATAATGATTTTAAGCCCATGCAAACGATGTTTTGTATATACATTGTTTTAATAGTTCAACTCCACCACAGAGTCATCTTTTGTTTAATAACTTGTCGAGCAATATTACAATGTTTGTGAATCTGCCTGTAATTTAACTAGCGAGGATGTAGTCTATTCTCAATTTATACCTTCCATGAAACATGTTGAGACCTTAGGTGACAAGACATGTTTATTTTTAAATGTAAATCCTGCAGGGTTAAATGTCTTATTTTGGAAAACGACAATCTGGAAACTTTTATCTTTATCTTTTTTTCCAGAAACCAAGATGAGGGTGGTTTTGAAAAGAAAGGACTTCATTACCCATGATGCTTTTCTTCAGAGGTGACCAAACGGGACGCGGAGCGGACCAAGCTGTGACAGCTGACTGAGCTCCAACAAGTTTACGGTGCAAACTTCATAGGAGAGCGCGACCTTGGACGACAGAAAACCAGGTTATCGCGTGAGTTTTGCATTTTTCTTTTCTTTAGGTGCACAAAACTCTTCAGACACCTCTGCGGTGGAGCAGGTCTGTTTGCATCTAAATCGACCAAACTTAGCCAGCATTGAGAAGAGGAAGGTAGGATGATGATAAGACTGATAAATAGATGAGGCAAATCAAGCTGTCATCTCTCCTTATAGTTTGTGTAAAGACCCTATTTTCAGGGGCGGAGCTAGATGGGGGGCCAGGGATGGCCATGGCCACCCTTAGCCAATCATTTGCCACCCCTACCATTTCCCCCCTCTAATACAGATGGTGGCAGCAGTAATACTCTAAAGTGGAATATTCAAAACATTTTATTTTTTCTTATATTATCTATGCTCATCAAAATCCTAACATTATAGAAGATAAATATGGACTTAATCCACTCTTCAGAACTAGATTTTGTTTTATATGGGGTAAAGAGAAAAGGATGTCTCTGCAAGTCATCTAGTCATCCACAGTCAAGTCGTAGATAATAAAAACGTATTACATAATCAATTAATGTAGATATTAGTACTTGTAAATATCAATTTTATGCAGAATGATTATTGATAAAAGTAGGTAACCTAGAACTCGGACCTGAAAGATTTTTATCCATTATACCTTTTATCTAGAAAGCACGGATGTTTTAATTTTTTTTTATTAGCAAAAGGTTGTAGGAAAGTATAGTTTGTCTTTATTTAGAAAATATGGATGTGCTCATTAATTTTCCTGTTGGAACAGAGTAGATTGACCCTGAGGTTCTGGTACTGATCCACTTTTGGCCACCTCTCAGTGTACATTAGTTATTGCCTGGCCACACTTATAAAAATTTTCTTTCATTGAACGCTACAAAAAAAAAAAAAAAAAAGAGACAGACAAAGCTGGCTTGTTATATTCTAGTTTGCTGCCACTTAAGGCTTGATTTTTATTCCCATCTCTTTAAAATAGTAAAACCTGATGAATATTTTACTAAAAAAAAATAAACACAACACTGTCACGCATTCAGACATGGCGAACTAAACAGAGAGGAGTGGTCGGCATTCAATAAAGTGCTGATAAATTGCACCACTTCAGCAATTCATAACCCTTTTCCCTTACCATGTGATGACATTTAGTCCTCAGTAGACTTATATTTTGTTAATGTATCAAGCTTTAGCAAGTTATTGAAATGACAGAAATAGACAACATGGATCTTTGGGGGTAGAAATGGTTAAATATGCCCCCCAATGATACAGAGTGGCAGTATATGTTGTGGAAAGTTATTTTCAATTTAAACAATGGAAACAACATTTGAAGTTCAACACATTGTGTTTGAGGTTAATTTAATTTTTTATGAATTGTTCAGTTTAATTCATGTTGTTCAAATAAAACCATTTTTTTTCTTAAAGAAAGGAATCCCCCTTCCAACAATTACTGCAGACAATGTTTGCATGGATTTACACCTGATTTTCACACATGCTTAATAAAGTCACCCTCAATATACCTAGAGTACCTAGACTGTGTCATCTTTGATACATCACTTTTTCACTTAATTTTGTTAGTAGTTGAAAATCGTGGGATCATGTGAACTGTTTTTGATTAAAGAACCAATTACTATTGAAATCTACAATGTGTCTGTTAATTGTTTGCATTTTTTTCCCCAAGATGGTGCCAAATAAATAGTTTAGTTTTCAAAAAGCAATGTTTACTTTCACTAGATCAGTTGCACACATCTGATTTTAGCTTCAGTGTCTGCGTGACTCAAGAAGCTCCAAATGCTTCTATGGACACAACCCGCTGAGATCTGAATAGCACCTTTGTGTGGTATCCTCTTTTTAATACCTTATGTATTCAACAGTGTTGACTGAGTTGTCAAATGGAGGTATTGTCAAGAGGCAGAATAGAATGAAATGCTGCGTTTCCAAGTCCAGGTGTGGTTGCTGAATAAAGCTCAAGGTTAAACAGGGCAACGCTCAGAAAGAACACCTAATCAGTTTTAGTCTCTTTTCAGTTTTTTGTTTGCTTGTTATAATCCTCTAGCAGCTTTTCAAATAGACAGTCATCATTTTAAAAGAATATAGTAAAAAAAGAATACTGAAACTGTTAAAATACATTAGGTATAGTAACTTTACTACTTATTTTAGGCATTATGGTGTTGGAAACATTAGAGTAGGTCTATGTAGCAAATAATTAACCAAACTATTGTTGTAATTTCAGACAGGTCAGGAAGGAGACTGATGGTTCAGGGAACAACCACTTCCTACATGTGGATGTCTCTTTATTGGAGGGCTCTCTAGCCACCTATCTATAGATAGATAGATAGATAGATAGATAGATAGATAGATAGATAGATAGATAGATAGAAGAAAGGAGATTAAATAAAGCAAACCAAGATCATAAACGTCATTTTGCTTGCACTTATACATGTTTAGCCACATATAAGCAAACAGCAATGGCATCTATAAGCTCAGATAATTACTGGGCCTTCATAGCAGTGCTATTTTTTTATTTTCTTTTGTTAAATTAGAGTCCAACCAACTCAAAAAACAAAGAAAGTAGATTTCCTTACCCCCTTTTAAATTAATTTATTGCTTTATTCTATAAAGAAAAGATGAACAGCACAAGCTAACGGAGACTGATTCCTCAGCTAAATGCAACTGGTCTGTTTCAGGATAGTGCGTGATTAATCACTGATAACTCTCTGTCAATCAGTGACCAACACTACAGCAGTAATTGGAAACTGACTTGGGCCTTGGCACGGTGATAAAGGTTAAACTACTGGATCGTGTCTAATTTGAATAATGCAGCTTAGGGCAGAGTCTGCCTTTTGCATGAATGCAAATAAAACGTGCACCTGGGGAAGTGGGAAGCTTTGACTTGTTGTATCCTAGTCTCTGACCAGACCCCCGGTCTGCACTTTTTATAAGACGGTTCACTTTGGCCGCTGTGTCTCCGCCTCAAGGCGGGACAAAGCTGCACGCCTTTCCAACACCCTCAGATGTACTTTCTTCTCCTGTGAGGTTCCCATGTCAGCCCCCGCCTCCACCCTCCCTCACTGTTGCTTCCTCTCTTTCTGGCAGGATACACTTGGTGCAGGGAAGGAGCCGGCCGGTAAAGCTACACTCTCTGTAGAAGGTCTTTGTTTTGATGGGAATACGCTGAAAGAGGCTAGATCACTCCAAAACAGCACAGAAAATACAAATATAACTACTTTGGGAGCAGAGTAAGTCATTTTTGTTACTACTGTGTGATCGGCACAAGCAGGTCCAGTGTATACACTTGTCCTCTCTTGTGCCAACACTACAATCACTATGTACTTATTGCACTTAGCAGCAAAAACATTTACCTTATAGCTTTCCTAATCTTAGCAGTTCTAGACTTTAGGGTGTTAAAAACAAATGATTACATGTTACCTATTTTTTTCTCAAATAATTATGGCCTTATGAGGGATTCCACTAGTTGTATGATCAGCACTGTGAGTAATTTTTAAATATTTTAAAATCTGATTACGAAAAACAGGACATGAGAAAAGAAGTATCACATTTCTGTGGTATGATCACCTTAATCTAACGCAGTGTTTTAAGCTAAAGGAAGCTATAGGCATCTTATAACTCTTGTGCTCTGATTTAACAATACGCACATTGTATACTAGTGGATAAATGTAATATTGCATTTTTGTGCTTTAAGTTGCACATTCCGTGTTATTTAGTCAATTTATAGTAGGTCAGCTGTACAGACCAGGATATGTAAGCAAACAGTAAGAATCTAATCACAGCTCAAACTAAAGAAGAATGTTGTGAGTAGAAAGATGAAACTGCCATGTTTTAAACATTGAGAGAACAGCCCTTTGTTAGCAACATAACACTATTTAAATCCTAAATCCTGCTTGCTTTTTCAGCATGAACTTTGGACAGCTGTGATGAAAATTCAGGAGTGAGAAATAAAAGAATATTTAGCCGGTACCTATTGATCTGGCAGTTTGATATGCTCTTTAAAGGTCGGTAACTTTGCTAAGATAAGTTTTATTTTCTTTGCCCTGATCTCATCGATCAGCATTAGGATCCTGTTGATTTCTGATGCGTTAGATAGATAGAAGTTAAATGACCAGATTGTTCGGCCCAAAAACTGAATTGGCTTCATCCTGGTTCGAGTGAACTTTACTTTCAAGAAGTGAACGTCTGGTATTTGGATTTTTAAGACCACTTTCTTTTCACGTGGTGCTGCTGTCCAGAATTAGCTCTGCCAGTTGTCACGGTGACATTCTTGCTCTCAGTAAACTCTTCTGTTGTCTCCTATGCTGTTTTACCTCCGTTAAATGTCTGTTCTTGTTGATATGATTGCTTTTAAGCTAATCATGAAGTCATTAATGTTAAAGCCCCTAAATATTGACAACTGCTAGTGCACATTCTTTTAGAATACACTGTTTTTTATTATTTAATTTCTAAACCTTACGTTTTATGTACAGTGCATCTGTAAAGTTTTCACACATACCTTTCCTCAAAATACTAGTCACAGTACCTCATTATGACAGTATGAAATAAAAATAGTAGATTATTGCAAATTTATTACAAATAAAAGCTGAAGAAATAACATTTACGTAAGTTTTCCCAACCTTTAATTAAAGCTTAATTGATCCATCTTTGGCAGCCCCAGATCTTTTTCAGTATTAGGGCTGTGACCTTTGCACACCTATCTTCAGGGAGTTTCTTTTTTGCTGTGTGTCTCAAGCTTCATTAGGTTGGATAAGCTGCGTTTGTGCACAGCCATTTTCAGAGCTTTCTAGATATCCTAAATCAGATTGAAGTCTTAACTTACAGAGTGGTTCTGGAGCTACTCCTTTAACATCCAGGCTTTGTGATTTAGATCATTGCCCCAAACTGAGGTCCAGTAAACTCTGGAGTAAGTTTACCTCCAGGATGTCTCTATACATAGCTGCATTCATCTCTCTATCCTGAATAGTCTGTCAGTTTCTAAGAAGCATCCCCCTCGCATGATACTGTCACAACGTGTTTCACAGTAGGGATCATATTGGCCTGGTGATGCATGGTGGCTGTTTTCCTTCAAACATGTTGCTGAAATTCACTCTACTTAGTTAAAGCTTTGTCTCATCCATGACTTACCGGTAGACCTTTCTCCACTGATCGTTCAGTTCAATCTGTCGGCCCACTCTAGCAAGAGTGCTACTGTTTCTACACTTCTTCCCTTTATGATGTGATGGAGACATGTAAGCTCATGAGACCTACAGATTAGCAGAAATGTTTATGGATCCCTCTCCAAATTTGTGCCTGAGGATATTCCTGTTTCAGATGTTTAAAGACACTATATGCTTGGTGTTTGGGCTCTGACTTCCCATGTAAACAGTAGGGGGTAATACAGACAAATTAGTGCCTTTTCTATTCATGTCCAATCAACTGAATCTGGACCAAATTTAGCTGTAGAAAAAAAAAAGTTTGTAATTAGAAGAAACAGTCAGCACCTCAGCTCAATTTTAAAAATAAAGGTACCATATCATGCATTATAAGCCTTTCAAACTCACCTGTTGGCAAATATATGTTAAAATATAATACATTTAGAACTACATGGGTATTCATTTGATTTAAACATTTTTTTACGCAGAAAAAAAATGTTCTTCTGTCTCCTTGAACCCCAGTCGGCCTCTGCAGATGGCTGCTCATACTGAGCCTGGTTCTGCTGGATGTTTCTCCCGGTTAAAAGGGAGTTTTCCCTCTCCACTGTCGCTACAAGTATGCTTGGTGTGAGGGATTGCCTACTGATCAACGAGTCAATGCAATCAGCTGGTTTTCATTGGATGGGAAACTTTGAATCAATTTGACTGTATGATCTGGCTGAAATGTAAAGTGCCTTGAGATGACATGTGTTGTGTATTGGCACTCTATAAATGAAATGAATTGAATTAAATTAGATGAAACTACTTAACTGAAATGGGCGGCTACCCCTCTGAGCGACGCCCATTTCATGACCATGCCATATCACAGCAGCCTTGAAGGCAGAACAAAGTCTCAGACCTCTTTTGGCCAGAAAAAGGATTTTTAAAACATACAGATTGGATAAAATAGAAAAGTTGCAGTCAGGTGCAGGAAAGCTGCTTTAAGAGCCTTTTTGTTGTAAATTTTGATTTATGCTCAATATTGAAGCGTGGTCTGCGCTTTGTTGTATTCCATGCCACAACGCAAGAGGGACAATCAGGAACTAGCTGTCTAGATACGGTAGAGGAGGTGAGGAAGTGGTGGCAACTTTGTCCGACAACGGGGGAACATGAGGGTGAAAAAGAGTAGGATCCAGGTGGAAAAAGGGTCCCAGCGTTCTCGCACACCTCGCTCTTCTAGCTGGTCCCACTTCACGAGTTGTTTTCCGCAATTGCAGTCATACAAAAACAAGCCGGCAAGCGGATGTAGATTTGACCAATCAGAGGCCTCTGTCTGCGGTCACCTACAATTTGGGAGAGGTGCAGCAGAATGTCGGCAGAGGGGACGGGGACATCTTTCCGTTCACTGCGACAACTAAGCAGAGGACCTAGTTTCGAAGTATAAATCAGCCTTAAGTATGCTTGTAGCGACAGTGGAGAGGAAAAACTCCCTTTTAACAGGAAGAAACCTCCAGCAGAACTAGGCTCAGTGTGAGCAGCCATCTGGGGTTCAAGGAGACAGAAGCAGAGATACAAAAGGCTGCTGTAAAAAGGCAGCCTCATCCAGGAAACACACAGCCAGGAAGATGACCTCAGAGCCAACTCCCATGCCAGAGGACGAAGAAAGCACATCCAGCCAGTCACAGCCAGAGAAACAGGACTACACCGAAAAACAGTCAGATCTCGAACATTATAAACAAAGGTGTTGATGACAGCAGCACAGCTGATATTTCTCTCTAGGATGGCGTCACAGCCAAACAGGAGCAGATGAGGGAAAGCTACTATGAGAAAAAGCAGAGAGAACATAACGTTAGAGATTTAACTAGCATATTCTGCAGAGAGGAAGAATAGAGATAGAATGATGAAATAGGGGTCCCTATGTCCTCCAGCAGTCTAAGCCTATAGCAGCATAACTATAGAGATAGCTCAGGATAACCTGAGCCACTCTAACTATAAGCTTTATCAAAAAGGAAAGTTTTAAGCCTACCCTTAAAAATAGACAAGGTGTCTGCCTCACAGACTAACACTGGTAGTTGGTTCCACAGGAGAGGAGTCTGCATTACTCAGAGATGCATGAATCACCAAATGATTTTTATTAGAAGTTCAAAGCTCAAACAAGTTGATTTTGCATTATATAGGCCAAAGGCTGTTGACATTATGTAAATGTGATTTCTTAGTTTCGATTTGTTAAGATTATAGTAAGCTTTTTCAAATTTTCATACTGGGGTATCATAGAATCTTGAAGCAACAAATGTATTTACCGGTACTACAGAATAAAGCTGTAAAACTAAATATTTAAAATTTTGCTACACTGAATGCCCTTTGAATGCACTGTAGGCCTTTTTATTATGAAGTTGGCTTTTTGTTTGCAATGCGTTGACAGCCGTGTCTCATTTTAACCAAACATATTTTGTATAATGCAAAAGTCTTCAGAAGGGTGGAAAGGTCTTTAGAAAAACTGAGAAAAGGTCAGTTACCTTTGATTTCAACCTTTTTTGTGGTTGCCATGACCTTGATGACTGAGAATTTACACAGGCAGAATGCTAGAGATCATTCTGTGTATCATTTGAAAAACTTTGTGTTATTGACCTGATGACATCATGGCTATCTTTATTTCCTCTTCCTGTGAGGCTGAAAAAGGCACCAAATCTTAGCTCACACTGCAATATTGTTTATGAGGAAGTCAGTGTGACTGCCAAATGTTTCCTTCTGGAAAACTCATAGGAGGTCTACGCAACTAATGATTAACTAAACGGTTCTCATAATATAAAGGAGGTCACAGAGGATACGGATGTCACAACGGTTTTTTTTCCTAATTGATGATTCCAAATTACTGGCCAGAGTATGCCAGTTTAATTCTGAAACATATTTAAATTAGGCTGGTGTTTATTTTTTATATTTTGAATAGGACACCCATATTTAATAGTAACTGATAAAGGTACAAAATCATTAAACATTTAATAACAGCTTAAAATTTTGCAGCTCAGTTTGAGCTTAGTTTTAATTTTCTTCAACATTTTTTTTTAATAAGTTCAACTAACTATTGTGAAATGAGCTCTTCATCTGTGTGACGTTTA